GGCTTCCTGGAAGACATCCCCCTCGGCGACCTTGTCGGCCGTGGCGTCCTCCTCGTGTTCTTGGTGCTCCTGGGCCTCAGGGATGGCCTTGACGAGGAGGTTGCGGTTTGACTTAGTTCTTCCCATTGTCAGTTAGTTGTGCTTGGTAGTGACGAAGGAGGCTAACTTGATTGTTCTAGCTCTCAACGAGAGCACCAAATGATAGACTATAAGTCTAGAGAGAAGTGAGAGCTAGAGAGAGAAGTGCTATAATTGCTCTGTATTAATGAATTTCTGAACCCTTACAACTACTCTCAGAAGGAGTATTTATAGGAAAAATTAGGGCTGGGCTCCCAAGTCTTGGGCTTGGGAGGCCCATTTACAATAGGGCCACTAATGGACCGGATACAAAAGTGTAGAAATGATTAAGTATAAAACTCAATTCTGGAGGCCATCTGTGGCCGATGAGGGCACGGCCGATGAGGGCACGGCCGATGAGGGCACGGCCGATGAGGTCACGGCCGACGAAGATCCAACCGACGAGGTCACCCGGCTCTTCCTAGCTTCTGGATCACTTTCTGAGTAGACTTCTTTCTGGCCGATGAGGGTCATCTGGACGACGAGGGTCCCACCAGGTGGTCGTGGTACCTTCTGTTCTTCTGAGTATGTGGGCCTTGGGGTCCAGGCCTATATACTCCATCAAGTTTACTTCTTCATGTCTCACGCACGCTCTGAACATCAAAAGTGGGGGACTTGTGTTGGGTTAATGGCCCAAAAAGGATCAGCCCATCGACCATTAAAAGCCCACCGAACGCCCGTCCCCTTAGCCCAAGCCTCCTGGTGAGATCCCCTGGAAATGTCCCTAGGAAGAGAAGAGCGTCGTCCCCACAGGGAACGTCCGGCCCCGAGGTACCACACCCGAAAAGGCAGGTAGCAGAAGGGGACGTACGTCAGGAGGCACAGTGGCTCGTCGGATTTGGAGGCAACAAGGGCATTAGTTGGAGATGTACGTCAGATTCAATTCTACTTCTCTATGTCCCGCGCACGCTTGGAACATCAGAAGTGGGGGATTTGTGTTGGGTTAATGGCCCAACGGGGATGACCCATAAACCCTTAGGCGCATCCTACGAACATTCGTGGAAGGCCCAAGACAACGAAGTACCTTTCCGCTGATTGGGAGAGGCTCGTCCCGAACAGGGCCAGGCTTCAGCGTAGGCCAAGGGACGTACGTACAATAGTCGGCGGGTACCTTGGCCCTGGGGACGTACGTAGCGTAGTTTAAGCGAGTGCCTTAGAACAGGGACAAAGTCGGACACTCGTCTTACAGGACTCCGGACCTAGCAGGAAGCAGGGCATCAGGCTCTAGGGGGCGAATGTCCCAACCCCTTGGTGGGAAGCCAAGATCCTGGCAGAGGCATCGTCGGACGCTTGTCTTACGGGACTCCGGACCTAGCAGGAAGCAGAGAAGCAGGCTCCAGGGGACGAACGTCCCAACCCCTTGGCAGGAAGCCAAGATCCTGGCAGAGGCATTGCCGGACGCTCATCTTACAGGACTCCAGACCCAGTAGGAAGCAGGGCAGCAGGCTCTAGGAGACGAACGTCCCAACCCCTTGGCGGGAAGCCAAGATCCTGGCAGAGGCATCACCGGACGCTCGTCTTACAGGACTCTGGACCAGCAGGAAGCAGGGCAGCAGGCTCCAGGGGACAAACGTCTCATCCCCTTGGCGAGAAGCCAAGTGCCTGGTAGAGGAATCACCGGACGTTCGTCTTACAGGACTCCTGATCCACCAGGAAGCAAGGCAGCAGGCTCCAGGGGGCAAACGTCCCAACCCCTTGACGGGAAGCCAAAGATCCTGGCGGGAAGCGCATTCATTGCAGAAGATTTGGTGGTTGGGATCAAGCCATACACGGCCCGCCACGTCAACGCATCCAACTACCCATTGGGAGTCACTAGTGCAAAATATACATTCTATAACTAGGTTTTAATATGGGTTCACTTAAGACCGTTATAATATGCAGGCACATCTAGGTAAATATACGATTCTTTGTCATGTGTATATATATCAAGCGAAGCATAATAAATTTCAGCATAGTAGCTTTCAAGTTCCAGCCATTTCTCTAGGCCTAAAATCAACAAAATTAGGATTAAAGTCATTTACACATCGTGTTAAAAAAAGAATTGATGCATGAACATCATTAAACGTACTGTTTTTATTATATTATGTTGTCTGGGTTATGATGTTTAAAGGTGTTTAAATATCTTTTTTTTAACATCTGTAGTGGGTTATGTAGTGCTTAGTTGAAGTTTTTCTGCTTCTAATATTGCATATACTTTAAAGCTATAAACAAACAAAACCACTTTAATTACCTAAATTTTCCAAGGGCCTGTTTTATTAAAGGATTTGGAGAGGAAGGTTGAGTTTCATTTTACCAATTTATCTTTTTTGGTTAGTCTTTGACTAAAAAGTATCCACAGTATAGATTTTTTATGTACAATGCTTTTACTGTATATGTTAAGTTAGATCTTGTACTTCAATATTACTTTCTCTACAACCAGCTAAATATAAGAATAAATTACTACAACAACAATAATATCCTTCACTGCCCTCCTAAATTCCCAACAAAATAAGAGCTCTGAGTATCTGATTACATGACATTTTGAATCTTTGTTGCTTGATACTCTCTGTAATTTGCTTGTTGTGCTATTTTCTACTCCTTTCTTGGTCACTTCGTGTAATGGATCACATGATTTATCCATAGTAATTGGAAGTGTGAAGATGTTTAGAAGCTCTGAAAATGTAATGGTTTCCAAAGATTCACTGCTAGTCTGATAGTGGCAAATATTTTCATCCGGTCTTGAACACTGAATTAAATTGCCAGTGACAAGCTTTCTAATCCTTCACTTTTCCTCACAAATTATACTGGAATGATTCGATTCTACTAAGTAAATCAACTATAAGATGGCTACTATGAGCCGAGTCTTTTTCACACTCATACTATTTAACAAATTGCACTTGCAGTTCTATTCTTAAATGTTTATGTTTTGGGTTTGTCAATTTACTCTAAAGTTAGATATTGTCAAAAACTATTAGTACTTTTTTAAGTTTTATACTACTGTATAATTTATTTATTTTAAAAGCCTTAAACTTTCAAGTCTCGGTCTTCTTAGATTAGAAAATAAAGATCGAGAAGAGATGGTTAATTTTAAGTATTGTCCAATGATCTCTAAACCCTTATTTTTTACAAACTGAAACTTTTTTGTTATATTTCTCACCCCAATAATTCAATACCAAGGTGTTCTCCATTATTCTGGAACTATTACTAAGGAAAAAGGAACATGAGCTCCTTTTAAGGTATCATCATTGATCTCATGTAATAAGTTGGATGTTTTGGAAACAAAATAAGTTATACTCATTGGTGTGGTTATTCATTGTAAGAGATGGAACCAAAGGGCTGGCTACAGGTATTCTTCGTTGTTGGTTCCTCAATGCTGATGTTCCTCGCTACAGGTATTCTTCGCTGCCGGTTCCTCGGCGCCACTGTTTGTCGCTTTCGATCTTCCTCGCAGCCAGTACTCTGCGCTGCTGCTGTTCCCCACTACTGATATTCCAGAACATAGCAATTGCTTGATCTCCATCACCTAAGACCTATGTTCCAAACTATCTAGGTAAAAAGGTTTTTTTAGATACTAGATATTTATTATTTCTTACTATTTTTGTTCGATTTGTGAATAGTTTTCTATGATATTGATGTAATTGCATTTAATTTGTTATAAACATGAAGAACGTCATCCCTAAGTTTTTATTTTCTTATATCTATAAACTGTTTGTAAAAATGTCTGAATGAAAATTTTAAAAGAATTTATTTACATAAGAATGATTATGGTTTGAAACTTGTTTCTATTCAATTTGTGTGTAATTTTATATGTGGATTGTCTGGAGTACAAGCGGTGGTGTTTCTCTTCGTTCCACACTCTACACTGCACCGTTGCTTTTCATTAACAGTCATTGCCGTTGCTCTTCTTTAGCATTGGACGATGCACCGCTACTCTTCGTTAACACTCGACGGCTCAACGCTGCTCCTTGCTATCAGTCGATGACCTAGCAGTTCCGGAGACTTCTTCTTCTGTGCATTAACCAGCTTTCACAGTAGGTAATTTGTCATTACTTTTTATTTACATTATACACTGAATACTTTTATCAGTTATACTCCAATTGTTGCTAGGGATGTCTTAAGATGCCAGGGAGTACACCAGCGCAGATGTTGCTAGGAATGCCTCACGAAATTACTTACCGATTAGGAGAAATCAGCCACCGCCGAGCACCTAAACAAGTACTCCGAATAGTTTTTCTCAATTTTTCGCCTAAATTATTCTGAACGATTGATTGGTATTGATTGATTGTTGGTTTCAGCGGTGCGCGAGAAAGAAAAAATAACACAATAAGTTGCCTAGTCATTGTTCTCGTCATCATATTCCCCCCCCCCCCCCCCCCTCCCCGGTGTCTTTTTCAAGTTTTGATGCACGACTGAATTTTGGATCCCTACAGTGCCGACTCTTTTTCGTATCGCTTCCTGGAATCATTTATGCTATCAAATCAAACTCCTCAATGTGGTGACATCGCTAAAGAGTGGTTTATTACTCCATCCGGTTCTTATTAAAGTTCCCACTTTCCTTTTTGGGATGTCCCTTATTTAAGTTCACACTTCCTTGGTTTTAAAAGGCACGAGGCGCCTTGAGGCGATTTTTTTGATTTACCTGAGGCGCTAGGCGGTGATGCGCGCGCATCACGGATCTCAACCACATTTCCCTCGTTAAATATATTTTTAGTACTTCTACATGAATCACTCTTCTCAAAAATACTTCAAACTATTAAACAATCTTAATAAACATCATAAGAGAAACAAAATATTAATTAAAGAGAATAAGACAGAAGCAAGAAATATATGTTTAAAGGCATAATTGCCAAAAGTCAAGTCACAAAACTCAATCTTAAAGCTTCAAAACATAATTAAACTTGCAAGCAATATTGTCAACAATATTCATCACTGTCATCATCCTCATTATCGAGAGTAGCAAGCTCAACATCGTCATTTCCTTCATCATCAGTTACTCCTAAGTCTTCCTCCCAAGTTTCTTCAACAATCCTCTTGCCTTTGTCATTGTTTGATGTGCTAGCTCCATCATTCCTAGCTGCTGATCTAGTGACGTAACTAGGCTCATATGCTCCAGCAGCTCTAGCAACTGCCCCCCATGTCAAAGTATCATCTTCAAACACAAAATCATCATCTTCGTCATCATTCTCCATTCTTCCGAGCAACCACTCATTACTTTCATCAATCTCTTCTAACAGAATGGGATCGGTGGTGTCTTTCCTCTCATACCGTCTTTTCAAAGCACGGTTATATTTTACAAAAACTAAGTCATTCAAACGACTTTGCGCCAATCGATTTCTCTTCTTAGTATGAAGCTGTCAAAATGAAATTATGTAAATATTTGGAATTTAAAATCTATGAAAATTAACACGTTTAATTTGCGGATTAGAGCTTACATGCTGAAAAACACCCCAATTTCTTTCACAACCAGTGGCACTACAAGTGAGGCTAAGGATTCGAATAGCGAACTTCTTCAAATTAGGAACAGATGATCCAAAGGAGTTCCACCAATCCGCTGGTGTTTGAGTTTCGAGAGTTTAAAAAATAGTTAATTGAAAATCATTTGAATTTATAAACATAAATTCTAATTTGTTATAGAAAGAATTATAAGTTATAAAAGTACCAGGAGATTTTATTTTTCTCTGCCTTATGGCTGCCGGGGTGCCGAATAAGCCTTGTGCACTCGAATATGCATCCAACTCCTTGATGACTTTATCTTGGTCTTCAACATCAACAACCAATCTAGCAATACAAGCATACAAGCCATTCATCACCTCTTCATCATTCGTTATGCGTTCTGAATCATCATAGAAGAGTTCCGGGTTCAAGTAATGCCCCGCAGCATGTAATGGCCGATGCAACTGACATTGCCACCTCTCATCGATTATTTCAAATGTTTTCTTATAAAATTCTTCTTTTTCTCCGAAAGATTTTGCAATGGTCTCCTTAGCCCTATCCATGGCTTCATATATGTATCCCATGGCCGGCTTTCTTTCTCCATCAACGATCCTCAACACTTTCACGAGCGGCCCCACCAATTTCAAAGCATAAAGAACACTCTTCTAGAAACTCTCTTGCAATAAATACGACGCAACTTTCTTTCCAGCTGCTTCTTTTGACCATTTGCTTGATCTCCAATCTTCCAAAGTCACCAACTTCCTCAAATTATTCTTCTGCTTGTGATATTGAGAGAGAGTGATAAAAGATGTAGCAAATCTCGTGATGCCAGGCCTATGCAAATTCCTTTGGCCTGTGAATCTCCTCATCATATTCACAAGACCAACATAGGAATAGATAAAATCGTTCATAAAAACTGCCTTCTTCAAAGCATTGTGAACTTTGGGAATCTTCCCAATGTCCTCTAACATAAGATCAATGCAATGCGCAGCGCAAGGAGTCCAATAAAGGTGTGGGCGTTTTGCTTCTAGTAATTTTCCTACGAAAGTTTTAAATCACAGTTAACATTTTAGCTTTTTGTTTAAAAGAATGAAAAAACATTTGTAAAAAAGTAAAATTGATATAATCATATAACTTACCCGCTTTCACATAAGCGGATGCATTGTCAGTTACAACTTGCACTACATTCTGCTCACCAATTTCTTCAATCATTTCGTCAAGAATATTAAACATAAGATTTGCATCTTTTGAGACTTCTGAAACATCCATGGACTTAATGAACACTGAACCCTTAGGAGAATTAATTAAAAAATTAATGATCTCCTTTTGGGCAACAGTATCACGCCACCCATCAGATAACAACGAGCAACCTTTTAATGCACATTCTTTCTTGTACTCATCCAGCATTGTTTGGGTATCCTCCACTTCCTTTCTAAGTAATGGAACTCTTAACTCGTACATGCTAGGTGGTTTCAGTCCAAGACCAAATTGCCCAATCGATTCAATCATAATTTTAATACTATCATAATTGGCAGCATGAAATGGAAGAGCTGCATCAATAAACCACCTAGCTATGTCTCCACATACTTTAGCCCTTAATTCCTTTTTACAAACTTCATTGATGGTTTGTTGCTTCTCGCTTTTTTTCCTTTAAGGACATCTTCGGGGTTAGGTCTAAAATAAACATCAATTGGACCCTTTTGTCTTGGTCTTTTGGCCGATGGCAATTTATTTGTGAGATCCACACAATCTTCTTCCTCATCACCATCATACTCATAAAGTTGGGCCATTTTTGGGAGCAACTCGTTTTCTTCTTTGGAAGCTTGTTTTTTCAACATAAATGACTTAATTTCTTCCCGAACATGTTCGGGACATTTAGGGCATTTGGTAACATTCCTAAACCCTCCCACAAGATGTTGTTTTAAACGAAAAACCCCTCCCTTAGTTACTTTCAAACAGAAATTGCAAGTGAAATTGTTCCTATTGGTAGGATCCGGTATCACATATTTTCTAGCAAGGTCCCTAGCTTCGGAACAACCCGCGGAAGAAGTTGAATTTGAGTCCATTGAATCCCTAACAAATATATGGTATTGAAAGAAATAATCACAATATAAACTGTGATAAATATATTTTAATTTAAAATTTAAATCATTAACGTAATAAACTGTTATAAATTAATAGTCATTTTGTGATAAATTAAATAATTAAGTTGTATAAAAACTATTAATAGTAATTTAAATAATTAATGTAATAAACTGTGATAAATTAGTAATCATTTTGTGATAAATTAAATAATTAAGTTATATAAAAACTGTTAATACTTAATAGTAATTTAAATAATTATTGTAATAAGCTATTATATAAAAATTTGTTAAAAATGTTAATAATAAAAAATGTCGTTTTTTGCAATACATTGTTAATAAATCAGTGTTCTAACACTAAAATATATATTATATAGTATTATGATATTATCATTGTTATGCAATTGTAATATACTATAAAATAATACCTATTTAATTAATAAACTATCACTCAAATACAATTCTGTAAAATTAATTACACACAGATGTATGGTCAGAATCTGACTTTTTATTCAAATAATTTAGTGTTAGAAGATAAAAACTTAAAATATATTTTTATTCATAGTTAATAATCTGACTGACGTTTATATACAATTCTGTAAAATTAATAACTACGTACGCTCAGTTATCTAACTTTTTATTCAAATAATTTTAATATTTTTATAAATATAACAACTTAAAATAAAAGAGAATAAATAAAAGAAGATAAAAAAATAAGCAGACTTCCCTCTGCGGCTCTGCAAGATCGGAAGCAGGCTTACGCGTGAAGCAGAAGCGCAAGATCGGAAGCAGAGAAAGTCGGAAAGGGCAGAGTGTAACACCCCGGGGCCCCACACGGATCCGAGGTAGTTACTCTAGACCTCTAGTACTATCCCCACAAACCACCACGAGCCTTTACCGTGCACTTTGTCCTCACTCATGCGCGCCCTGAGAAACTTCCCAGGGGGTCACCCATCCCAAGGCTACTCCCGTGCAAGCACGCTTAACTTTGGAGTTCTTGGGTGATGAGCTCCCTTAAAAGGAGATGCACCTTGTTGGTATGAGTAGTACTATTAATCCTTTTAAATTAAATCTCAAGTGTTACAATCACCCCCACTTAGGAACGCAACGTCCTCGTTGCGCCCATAAACCAATCTCAATCATATCCCAGAATCTTTTCCCCTGCTAAGTGCCCGCCCGATATCCAACGGATCAGCACACTGTCGCAGGGTTGCTCTGATACCATCTCAAGTGTTACACAGAGTTACACAGATAGGCAGATAATATCCGAAGACCAAATTACCAAAAGCAGAAGTAAGGAAGAAGACTAGAGAGACTTGGAGGTTTGGAGTTTGATGGAGTGAGGGGTGAGAACCTTACCTTGTCAATTTATAATACACTGCAGGAATTTTCTGGAACCAGAATTTGAAACGCCAAGGAATGGGAATCGCCAAGGAACGGTAATCGCCAGAATCCATGAGGCGGCTAAGGCGCTCGCCTGTCAGAAGCGAGAAAGGCGCAAATAAGCGAGAGAAGCGCACGCCTCGTAAACCCTAAGCCGCCTGGCTATGTAAAAGGCGATGACTTCTTCGCCTTTATGCGCCTCGCGCCTTTGTGCGCCTCAGGCGCGCTTTTTAAAACTAAGCACACTTCCATTTTAGGAAACAAAACAGTGCAAAACAGTGCCAAACAGTATCCAAACAGTGCACTCCACAATAAAGTCAAATTCATTTTCTTAATATGTGTGAAGTCAAACTGGGAACTTAAATAAGAACCGGAGGGAGTATTATTTTTGTGTGTGACGCACTTGATATTGCCCCAACTATTTAATATTATGTGTTCTATGTGCTAATGACGTTCGTGGGGTTGGATTTATTGTATTATTATGCTGATGTGTAGTCAACTAGATGAAGCTGTTTAATTTTAATATATGTTTTTGGGAGTAAATCTTCAAGTTAAAGATTTTCGCCTGCAATTTCTACTAAGGTTTTATTTGAGCTTAAGTTCTTGAAATGTTTTTTTAATTTTAATATATGTCCTTGGTTTATTTATTTGATATAAATACTACAGGTTTTGACATCAAAGAAATTGTTATTCAACGTGCCCACCCTTTCTTCTATAATGATGTAAAACCCGTACTTATGGATAGTTCTAAGAATCTGTATCACCTTATGCCTAAATTGGTAGAATTTGAATATTTATTCAAGTGAACAATTGTAATATGTCATGCAATAAAGTTCAGTTTCTAATTATTACTTATGTTTCATTATTTTATTTTTTTGTATTTCTTTTTATTTTATTTTATACTAATATAATGTTTTTCATCTTGTATAGGTATTCAATGTGCAAGATCCATTTAAAGAAGAAGATATCAATGAGATTCGAGAAGATTGTGCAGTGTTTTTATGTGAAGCTACTAGCATTTAGTATTTATTTAATTAGATTATGATGATACTATTTTTGAAAGTCATATGCAATAGTTTGTTGGTGTATCAACGATAATTTGAAACTATACTATCGTTAATATACAATTTTTAATTTGATATATGGTTTGTGAGTGGTGTTGTTTATTTATGGATATCGTAGTGAATGAGCATTATAAAATTTTCATGTCGGAGTACAATAAATTGATATTGGTGTAAATTATGAGGATATCAGTTTGCATTATAAAAGACGTTCCATATGAGGTTATTCTGAACCAATATGGAATACATTCCATAAGGGGTATAGTGAATTGATATCGATTACTTTTTAACCCATATAAAAAGGATTTTATATGGGGTATTACTGGACTGACACGGAAAACATTCGATAACGGTTAAATTCCTAACCGTTATAAA